AACGGTGGGCGCTAACAATAGCGTGTCAGGAAACGCCGTGTTCGGACGGTGCTTCCTTTGCAGCCACGCAGCACCCCGTGCTCCCGAGCTGTTTTGCTTCGCTCCTAACGAGAAACCTCCAGAGGACTCGGCGCTGCGTTTCCGAGTGCTCCAGGTCTGCCTTTCAGCTTCCGCACCAGTCCCAGGCGGATTTTTCCCAGCCTTGGGGAAGGAGCACGCAGCTTAGCTGCGCTTGCTGCAATTGCTGCCCAATGGTTTTGCTTTCAGATTCCTATTTCGTTTGGGATATTTTGGGATATCCCTGTTTTCTACTGGGATAGGGTGGGGAGCATGGAGTTGGGCATGACCCTTTGCAGCGTGGCTGCTCCTTTAGTTTTCCAGCCGGCTGAGAAGGGATGTTTGGAGTTGGGTGTTGCAGGGGAGGAAAACAACAAAACAACTCGCAATTCCCATTGCATCCTTCACCCGAAGCCTGATAGCACGGGCACGGTCGGAGGGGGACTGCGGGCTGGACTTAGGGAGAGGCTGGGTCCCCTGAACCTCCCTACCAGCGGCATCAGGGAGCAGAACTCAGCATTTGTCCTTCATGTTCACAGGCCCAACAAGGCAAATTCCTCAGCGATGCGGAGAATGAGCTGGAGGAGCTGGCAGTCACCATCGCACAGGCCAAGAAGATGGTGGAGCTCATTAAGGTGACCCTGCGACGGCTTTGCTTCGTTAGCGCAGCTCTGCTGGGCCTGGGAGCAGAGGCGAAAGGGCCGTGAGCTTTTGGGGCGCGTGGGTTGTAGAGGTGATGCTCACAGGGGAGCAAGCTCTCTGTAAAACAATGGTGACCCTGGCGAGGATCCCTGAGGATTCTTTCTCCTCATCTCTGCTAACCACCACGGCATCTCTGGTTGCTTTCATTTGCAACCTGGAAGGAGTAACAGGGCAAGGACCGTGCCAGGGCATCTGCTGGCTCTTGCGTCTTCTCTCCCCAGGCTCAGGGGGGTTTTGGTCCCCTTTGGCCCTTGTGCAAATGTGTCACTTCACCGCCTGGGGACACGAGATGTGGTGGAGCAGTAAGCAGCCATGCCCAGCCGGGTCCTTTGACACCTGGGTTGTAAAGTTCTCTGAGTTCTTGGGTGAAGGGAGTTAAGGGTTGTCAGGGGGACCCCACAGAGCTGAGAACTGGGTGCTGGGCAGGGGACAAGGGTGCTGTGGGAGGTGACCCCAACCCCTCTCTCTCTCTCTGTGCTCAGGGCGCTGCCACAAAGGAGAGGGAAA